CCTGCCCACCTCAAAAGCCGGGGGGGGGCGCCCCGGGTTTTCCCCGGGACGGGGTTCTCCATCCCCAAAGGGGAGCGCCCTGGGGGTTTTTGCGGGCGGCGAGAGAGGGGGGGGGCCCCCCCACTAAGGGGGTTGGGCCTTTTTTGCTTTCTTCCTTTGCCGGGGGGGGGGGGGGGGGGGGGCGTACTCATGTATACGCATCATGCCGTGTTCGCTAAACCATTACCCTCGTATCCCTACAAAACATGCCGGGACGGAGCCATACGCCGCGTTTTCGATGGCCCAGGCTAGATGCGTTCCGCAAGGATGAACCATAAGCTGGTCATTCATCATCCTTGCGTTTGCTGTGTTAAACCAGATAAGCCTCGGGTTGATAGGATTGGGGTGGGTGGGTGGGGGGGGGGTGCTTTTTTGTTGATTGCCGTACATACCGTATATGACACAAAGATAACACACCCCCTTGGCCGATTTTCAAAGCTCGATTTCTCAACAGCAGGAAGAGTCACAGCGCCGAAAACGGCGGCGTTGGAACCGTCTCGTCGAGAGCTGTTCGAAAACGTATTGTTTCATTTATGCATCCTCTTCGTCGTGGAGTAATCGAGCTTTGAAAATCGGTCCAGGGGGTGTGTTATCTTGTGTCATATACGGTAGTTCCCTCCACCACCGGTGGATAGGTGGGTGTACTCAAGACTATGCACGACGTTCGTCTTTCGTCGGAGAAGAGGTCCATATTTTCCCCTTGCACTTGGCAAGGCGTGGGGGGAAAGATGCATTTAAATGTTCAAACGTCGTTCGTAAATGCGCTTGAACGATAGCCGCAGGCTGCAGAGCTCGCAACACAAAGGAGCAAGAGGGACCCTGTGAGGAGAGATCGTCCCGAGAGATACTGCAAAAGCATCTCCCCAAGACAACAGCATCAACAACAGCAGCAGCAGCAGCAGCAGCAGCAGCAGCAACAACAACAGCAGTAGCAGCAGAGGCGGCATCATCATCATCATCATCATCATCATCATCATCATCATCATCAACAACAACCACAACGACAGCAAACAAGATCGGAAAAAGGCGGCCCTTACGTCTTGGGCATCTTCCGCCTGCCTGAGCGCGGTGATGGCTCCAGCGTGCGCCTCGAGCTCCTGTCGGTACCTCTCCTCTGCGGCCCTTGCCGCCGTGCGCTGGACCTACACAACACAACACAAACACAGTAAAAGGGTTAATTTCAGAGCACCACGGTGTATGATGAACAGCAACCAAGACTTCGAAACGAAAAAGTAACCTGTGCGCTGAAGCTCGACAACACAAGGGTTTCAAACCAACATGGTGTGACAACCAACAACAGCACCAAGACTTAACATCAAGCACTATCCATATCTTGGCTGGACCCGGACAACACTAGGGTTTCAACAACCTACGAGTTCGAAATAAAACATAAAAAAAAACTCTGTCTGGGTACGGAGAATCTCCTCTCCCCGCTCCTGCCGGGGAAATTGACCCCTTTTCGGCGAGCACACTAAGAGAGTAAAATCGAAGGCAAGCAGGGGTAGGGGGCCTCAGGGAGGGCAACCCTTCTGTGTGACCACGGACTTCAAGTGCACAAAAAAAAAAAGGAGGAAGAGACGTGTTCTCATTAGTCGGCCGGCCAGCGCGGTCGATGCTAACAATAACACCGCACACCCAGTCATCCAGAGACCGCCTGCCGTAAGAGTCGGAGAGACACACGTGTTGCCCCCTAGACCGATTTTCAAAGCTCGATTTCTCCACAACCAAGATGGTGCCAACACCAGTAATGGTGATTTAAACGTCTCGTCAAGGACTTTCCGTAGCCATGTCGTACTATTTCCTCACCCTCTTGCTTATGGAGGCATCGAGCTTTGAAAGACGGTCTAGCGGGGGGGGGGGGGG